ATATGTTGAAGAGGGTCAGATAATTATTTAGGAACTTGTTTTGTATCGGTGTGACCCTCTTTTCAAAAGTTATTGAACTAGAAGTGACGGTAGGTGTGTCTATGCAGAAAACTGAGATGTCGCAAAAGTATCATTTAGAGCAAATACTTGTAGTTTCAAGACTTCTGATATGTTGAAGAGGGTCAGATAATTATTTAGGAACTTGCTTTGTAACGGCGTGACCCTCTTTTCAAAAGCTTTTGAACTGGAAGTGACGGTAGGTGTCTCTATGAAGAAAAACAGAGAGATTGCAAATGTATCATTTAGAGCAAATACTTGTAGTTTCAAGACCAACTTGTTTTGTAACAGTGTGAGCCTCTTTTCAAAAGTTATTGAACTGGAAGTGAAGGTAGGTGTCTCTATGAAGAAAAACAGAGATGTTGCAAATGTATCGTTTAGAGCAAATACTTGTACTTTCTAGACTTCTGATATGTTGAAGAGGGTCATATAAATGTTTAGCAACTTGTTTTGTAACAGTGAGAGCCTCTTTTCAAAAGTTATTGAACTGGAAGTTGTCTCTATGAAGAAAAATATATAACACAGATATGCTGCAAATGTGTCATTTAGAGCAAATACTTGAACTTTAAAGACTTCTGATATGATGAATCACAAATTAGTCCCTGCCTCCACTTTAAGCGCTTTATATTGTTGTTAGTTATATAAGTGCAATTATTCAATGCCATTGCTATCCATTTATGTTAGCACATACATATTTTGTTTAATTTATGAAATGCAAAGTAAATGACATGTCTTTGTCTAATAGATTGAAGCAGAGTTCACTCGCCTAACTTCAAAGGACCTCATGAAGTAGTTTCTGTCGGGTTTGGACCAGTATACACCCAGATTTCTTCAGCTGTTTAGAGCAAAGATGAGCAGCATTTCACAATTGGAAAGTCTTCTCAGCAAGATCGACAGTGATGTGAGTATTTTAGTTTTGTGCTTGTTCAGATTCAAACATGCTTGTTGTTGTTGTTTTTTTAAGTTGTTTGGGTTTGTAGTGTCATACATCACACAGGGCTCAACACACTGAACCCTGTTGATCCCTGTTTAACGGCATTATATGGAGAAAAACCCTGGATTGTTTTCCTTAAAAAAACGTTTTCTTTTTCAACTGAAGAAAAACAGGCATTATATATCTTGGATGACGGTGGGTGGGCCTCAGGCCTCTGAAGGGATATTTTGTGCATTTTAAAGTTAAATACTTCAGTCTGGTACACGTGTGGTGCTTTTCCACTGCGTGGTACAGCTCGGCACGGCTCGTCCCGGCTCGGTTTGCATTTCCACTGCAGTTCAGTATCGATTTAGAGCGGCCGTGATTATTCACATGTCGTTATAGTTGCGCTGCCTCTACTGCCGCGCCTCCTGAAAACCTTTTTCATTCCGCGTCGCCCCATCAAGCTCGCTGGATCCGCTCCTCTGCTATCAAGGAGAGGAACATCTGTACTTCCTCAACAGACAACGAAACAGACACTTTTTGGTTG